ACTGAAGAATTTAATTATTCATTGAAATTAAAATTATAATAAATTTGTTTGATAAATGTAGGTTGTAAATTGGAGGTGAAATACGCCATTAAAAGTTTTATTCATCAAAAATAGCCACATTATATTTCCATGAATAGAAAGATATTACAGTAGCTAGACTCCATAATTACAGGACTGAAATATATATATATATATATATATATATATATGTAAAATGATTATTCGAAAATTATAGCATAAAAATGTTAGAAAATCACTACAAAAATAGCCATTTTGTTTCAACACTTCTGGTGTCTTCTCGAGTAATGGTGCTATTTTCGAATAAATAATTATATTTGCTCTACTCTGTATTGAGCACTCTTTTAAGAATAGTATTTGTTGGTTATTGGAATTTATTTCGTATTCACCAAGCCTATACTTGAGTGTGTATATATATATATATATATATATATATATATATATATACATATAGATATAAAGTGTTGCGCAAATGTAAATGAACCGCTAAGATAATATTTTTGTCTACTTTTTCCAGATAATCAACAAATCTTGACTAACCTCTCTAACTAGGGTCTTCCTAATGTTGCCATCAAAAAGCTAAGCAAAATATTAAGAAAATGCAAAATGTCGTTGCCAATAAAAATAAAAATGCTGGACTATTTTGCAATATAAATCCTTCTGCATGGGCGTGAATTTCCTCACAGAAGAAGAAACTTGACACGACAAGAGGGATGTGGTTCTAGAGAAGACGTTCATTTTCATAGACAGAACATGTGAGCAACGAGGAAGTTTTAAGGAAAATATGAACGAAAATATACTAATTGACCCGCAATATTGTATTTCGATTCATTCATATCAGTCAGTTATGTCCCATGAGTGATACACTCTTAGGCGATCATGTATCTTTCGATACATGATTGATGAGTTACTAGGTTGCCATTTCTTTCTGCAGTAGACCACTTTTTCCCAAGGCTATAGAACCAGCTGTGTCCTGCTTTTTAACCCATAAAATTCATACATTTATCCAGGTTATTAGCACGTAATGGTGTTCCTCGACTGAATTCGAACTCGATCTCCGATTCCGTAAGCCGAGCCACTATCCATATGTCCATCAATTTCATTCTTTTTATTCGATTTTATGCTATTGTTTTGTTATCGAAGAAAAATAATGAAGGCTGAGTTATTTTGTAGGCTAATATTTTTTTCACACGTCCAGATTTATCTGTAACTTTGCCTCTAGTCGAACTGCACAAGTTACATATGTTAAATACATTTTGTAGCCACAGACACACATACATGAAATATTGTCGTATTGTTGAAATAAATAACAAAACAGGCAATCTCCATTACAATGTATATTAAATCACAACATGAACAGAAGATATCATTATTCATTGAAATTAAAATTATATAAATTCATTGCATAAATATTTGTTGTAAATTTTAAGTGAAAGACATCAATAAGAGAAAGAAACATTTTATTCAACAAATATAATGGCAATATATTTCCATGATAAAAATATATTACAGTAGCCAGACTCTATTATTAGACCACTGAAAGAGTAATTATATATATATATATGTGTATATATATATATATATATATATATATATATATATAAATATATATATATAATTTATAATTTATATATAGTTATATATAGTAATATATATATATATATATATATATATATATATATATATATATATATATATTAAAAAAGATTTTTTGCCGCAAACGTTTTTGGTTCATATTCAAAAAATTAAGGTTTGTCCTAGGCTGGACAAACCTTAATTGTTTTAAAACCTTTTAAGACGCAGAACTCTTCATTGACAATTCTAGAAAAGAAAATTCGGATTGTTAACACACAAACAGAATGTCTCATATCGAGAATATTCCACATTGAACATGAAGAAAAATTAATTATTTTTTAATAATATGTAAAAATCTCCACTTTCACCTGAAGACGGTTTGAGACCAGACCAGAAACACGTGTCGTGAAATTATGTAAAACAAAGTATAATATTTTTATCAATAAATCATTACAACCAAAAACGTTTGCGGCACCCTCTTCTTTTTAATATACATACTTTTTCTCTCATTGGAACCACTACAACATATTTCTTTTATATATATATATATATATATATATATATATATATATATATATATATATATATATATATATATATATATATGTATAGTAATCAGAGGACAGTAGCGATTTGTTTCGCATTTAAGTATATATATATATATAAATATATTAATTCCATTTAAATTTATATAAATATATATATATATACATTTAAATTAATATATATATATATATATATATATATATATATATATATATATATATATATTATAAATTTAAATTGATGCCAGTCGCTCTCTACTGTCTTCCTGATTACTCTTTACTCTTCCCGCACATTATTAATGTTTCTATTCCTAATCCTTGCACACCCTGTAACCCCTTGTGTCTTAGTGGCTTTACTGCCTTGCATGGGTTGATACCGATTAAAAAATAATTCATTTTCTGTTCGTATTCTGACTGTTCCCTGCAAGTATAGGTTCTTGATTCTCATAATGTCCTTCTCAAATATGTCTAAGTTGATGAGCAATTCTTACAGATTTTACGTCGTACTTTATCAAAAAATACCTTTGTCTAATTTATAAAGCATAGGTACACGTCTTCCATTAGATCAAAACTATTTTCGTTTTTAACAGTTTTTTTTTACTGCAAAGCTTGTTTCTTCTACACGCCTAAAGACTGTCAATGTCACCAGTATATTATCCGTATTTTCTCCGATAATATCCGGCAATTAATGAAGGGGTAGCGGGTCACAACCTGTAGGCTTATGTACCGCAATTTTTCTCTTCTTCTAAGTGGTCATCACTTTTCAGATTATTCTAGACGTTCCTAAAACGGTTCCTTTCTGTAACTTTCTTAATCTGTGTTTCTATACTGTCAGTCATTTTATCAAATGCACCAATGAAAACTAATATGGTTGTAGCCTTTTTAAATTCCAAAAGCCTCGATAGTTCAAAGTTCAGTTGGTTACTTTCACTTTCATTTTTGTTTTATTCTTGTATCAAAAGGACACAGTGGATCAATAATTACCTCTTCTTTTCCAGTTTTATCGTTCACCAATATGTGTGGTTTGTTGTCCTCAAGGTTCATTATTATTATTATTATTATTATTATTATTATTATTATTATTATTATCATTTTATTTGCTTTGATTTCTGGTGTGTACTCATTTCTATCGGCTCCCGACCAGAGACCTAATGTCAAAAATTGTATCATGACATTTTCCACTGACCAATTACCAACCCCGCCCCCCGCCACCCCCCAACAAAAAAAACAACAAGACGCATATTTTACATAAATAAAGCCCTTTATAAGGTGTGAGCTGTGCTCTTGAGAACAATTTTTTGTTAAATTAGTATTTGTACTTCCAGGAATCTCTTCAATAAGTCTACTGGAATCTTTTCCAATAAATCCGAGGGCTCAAACAACTATGAGAATTGTTGATGTTCCAATGTGCCACATTTTTGAGATTTCGATTTCAAAATTCTTGTATTTTGATAGGTTTTTGAAGATCTTCAACGATACATTGCAGTCTCCAGGGATTGCCATACCAATAAGGAGGCAATTTTTTGTTTGCTGTCTCTAATAACAATATCTGCGAGGTTAGCTTTGATTGTTCTATCTGTGTGTAATTATTGTAATCGTAATTATTATTGCTTTTATTTTCTTTGATTTCTGGCGTTTACACATTTCTTTTCGGGTCCCAAAATTTTACAAAAGGTTAGAAATGGCGTCATGACAAAAATAAACTGACAAAAAAAAAAAAAAAAGATTACATAGATAAAGCCCTTCGTAAGGTGTGGGCTGTACTTGTCAAAACAATTTTCTGTATCTCCTTGAGGCATGGACTTCCAGGAATCCGTTCAATTAGTCTACTGGAATCTTTTCCAACCAGTCCTAGGGCTCCAACTACAACAGGGATTGTTGATGTTCCCATATATGCCACATTTTGATTTCTATTTTCAAGGTTCTTGTATTTTGACAACTTTTTACCGTATCTTCAACTACATTGCAGTCAAGAAGGGACTGCCATACCAATAAGGAGGCAAGTTTTTGTTTGCTGTCTCTAATAACAATATCTGCGAGGTTAGCTTTGATTGTTCTATCTGTGTGTAATTATTGTAATAGTAATTATTATTATTATTATTATTATTATTATTATTATTATTATTATTATTATTATCCAGTTTTATAATGTATACCATGTACATGTATAACAGACAAATGTGCGCGATATGGCACAGGGTTTTTGATAAAAGCAACGCATGATTAGGTTTCAGCACATGGTTCATATATTTCACATTAAAACTGTCTTTACAATTTTGTTATCATTATAATGAAAAGGTTTTCATGTTTCTGTTCAAAACACTTCTTATTCTAAAACTTTGCACACGTTCTATATTTATAATTTAAAATGACAACATAATGTTTGATAGGATAAAAAAAAATAGAACCGGCTTATCGATCTAAAACTTTAGATTGATAAACGTTTCTTATTTGTTCCTTATCATCTCATTCTGTCGGATTCCGATCCATATTTGATCTGGATTTGATCTTAGCTAAACATAATGTTCATCGAACTTTCAGTAATCTGCTTAATAATGGAAAATTTGGAAATTAAGACACTACGCTAGTGGATAAAGGCGTAAATTTGGTAGCAAAGTAATTACGAGTTCAATCTCTGGATCGGGTAGTAAAAAATTAAAGCCAAGTCAAGGCCAGCAATAAGTGAACAGTACTAAAAAGAAGATAAAAAAAAAAAATATGCTAAAAAGAAAATGTAAAGAGAGGAACGATAACAATGGAGGCTGAAGTAAATGGGATAAGAGAACAGGTTTTGGGAGAAATAACAAAAAGACGAAATTTATTAAGAGCTACAGGACTATGTGGAGGGCCATGATAGCCTACGTCCTGAGAGGACACAGCAAAGAAGAAGAAGAAGAAGAAAAAAAAGAAGGAGAAGGAGAAGAAGGAGGAGGTGAAGAAAAGGAGGAGGAGTAAAAGAAGAAGAGAAAGGAGGAGGAAAAGAAGAAAAGAGGAAGAAGAAGAAAGTGATGAAGAAGAAGTAGGAGGGGAAGAAGAAGAAAAAGAAGAAAAGAAGAAGAAGGAGAAGGAGAAATAGAAGAAGGAGGAGAAAGAGAAGGAGGAGAAGACGAAAAGAAGGAGGAGGAGGAGAAGAAGGTGAAGGAGAAAAAGAAGAAGAAGAAGAAGAAAAAGGAGGAGAAAGAGAAGGAAGAGAAGAAGAAAAGAAAAAAAAGGAGGAGGAGGAGGAGAAGAAGGATGAGGAGAAGAAGAATAGGAAAAGGAGGAGAAGCAGAAGAAGAAGGAGGAAACGACAAGAAGAAGAAGAAGAAGAAGAAGAATAGGAGGAGGAGAAGCATAAGAAGAAGAAGAAGAAGAAGACGAGGAGGAGGAGGAGGAGGAGGAGAAGCATAAGAAGAAGAAGAAGAAGAAGAAGAAGACGAGGAGGGGAGGAGGAGAAGGGAAAAGATAGAAGAAGAAGAAGAAGAAGAAGAAGAAGAAGAAGAAGAAGACGAGGAGGAGGAGGAGAAGCAGAAGAAGAAATATTTGGCGTTAAATAATAGATAACCAAAACAGCGTAGCAATTCACATATTCCAAGTGATTCCAAATGCCTTTCAAAACTCAGATATGTAGAGTATCTCTGCGATGTCCCGTGTGGTGGAACGTTATAGTAGGACTTTCTCGGTCTTTCGGGCTCAAATGTTTCCACTTGTGAATCTGGCGAGCAATTTATAAACAGTACTCACACCTATGTCACCATGTCCTAAAATGACAATTATCTTTTACTTTTTGCACAGTAAAAATTTTATTTTTTACGAAATATCAGACTGCATCTTCTATTTTCCCTTTTAACACACGCAAAAAGAAATACAAAAAGAAATCGGAAAAAAATAACTCTAAGTAAAAAAAACAAAATTTTAGTGAGAGTTTGTTTTTTATAGCACTCGTCTCAATAGATCAATATGTAATAATGGTAATTCATCATCTCAGAAATAGGAGAGACGTTGTGACTATAACAACCAAGATGAGGACACTCGTCTGAATAGATCAATGTATAATAATTATTATAGATAGTTATATTTTCCGATTTCTTTTTGAATTTGTAGGTCTGATGAATTGGATCGTGATTACGATTTCAATGTAATAAATTTTAACCATGGAATATTAGTGTTTCAGCCTTTTATATTATATTCTTACTCTGTCCTGGACATTGAGCTCTACCTGGATCCTATCACTAATATTATATATATATATATATATATATATATATATATATATATATATATATATATATATATGACCTTTACGTATGGAAAAAAATCACAAGTTCAAATCGAAACTGTTGAAAAACTCTAAACATTTTGTTCGAAACCAATATAATAATGATATTCTCTCATCACAGAAAGAGTCAAAGTAAGGATACTCGTCCGAATAGATCAATGTATAATAATAATTCCTCATTCTTAAAATAGAAGAAACATTATCACTATAACAACCAAAAAGACACTCGTCTAAATAGATCAATGTATAATAATGATAATTCCTCTTCTCAGAAATAGGAGAAACGTTGTGACTATAACAAAGAAGATAAGGACACTCGTCTGAATAGATCAATGTATAATAATAATAATCCCTCATCTCAGAAATAGGAGAAACGTTGTGACTATAACAACCAAGATGAGGACATTCGTCTGGATAGATCAATGTATAATAATAATAATCCCTCATCTCAGAAATAGGAGAAACGTTGTGACTATAACAAGCAAGACGAGGACATTCGTCTGGATAGATCAATGTATAATAATAATAATTCCTCATCTCAGAAATAGGAGAAACGTTGTGACTATAACAACCAAGATGAGGACATTCGTCTGGGTAGATCAATGTATAATAATAATAATCCCTCATCTCAGAAATAGGAGAAACCTTGTGACTATAACAAGCAAGATGAGGACACTCGTCTGGGTAGGTCAATGTATAATAATAATAATCCCTCATCTCAGAAATAGGAGAAACGTTGTGACTATAACAAGCAAGACGAGGACACTCGTCTGGGTAGGTCAATGTGTTACAATGATAATTCCGCATTTCAGGAATATTCGAATCGAAGGCCCATGACTAAATAGGCCTTGTTCCTATATTCAGAGGCATCTCTATAAAAAAATATATATTGAAAGATGAGGATATTATTCGAAAGAGAACACAGAAGATAATATTAATTCTTCTTCTCATCCTCATTCGACCAGAATCATTAAGTATCTCTGTTGAGTTTTTAAATGACTTCAAGTATGTTTAATCTCTCGGCGGAAGAGCAAGCCACTGACTAAATTGGCTCCAAAGTTTGATAAGCTGAAACAAATAAACAGTCAAACAAAACAAACAAAAAAGAAAAAGAAGAGAAATTTTATGTCGATTATATTATTTGTAGCTTTATACAAGAACTACAATTTGACCGACATTGTCTGTCGATAAATTTTCTTTGTTCCAAGTCGAAGTGATCGGAAAGATTCTTAATTTAACTTTCAGTTGGCTCGAAGCGAAAAATTAGACATTTCCAGTTCAGTTGTCGGTAGCAAGATAAGCAAGTAAATGTGTTAGACTGAAAACTGAAACCTCCAAGAAATACGGCACTTTGATCAGGTTTAAATCTATCTATATATTTCTCAGTCTAGTAAATTCAATCGGTCTGTTTGTCTCCCTGCTGGCTGATTTGAAGCGCTATACTCTACCTATCAGTATTCAAGTAAATAAAATAAATGCCAAGTAAATATATAAAATACATAGTGTTTTAAATAAAATATTGAAAATAAATTATTTTTGAATGATATTAATTCCAGACCTCAGAAATAGCCTGAAAGTTGTGGCAAAACAATCAAGATGAGGACACTCGTCTGAATAGATCAATGTATAATAATAATAATAATTCCTCATCTCAGAAATAGGAGAAACTTTGTGACTATAACAACCAAGATGAGGACACTCGTCTGAATAGATCAATGTATAATAATAATAATTTCTCATCTCAAAAATAAAATAGACGCTATGGCTGTAACAACCATGATACTCGTCTAAAGAGAAGTTTGTATAATCATGACAATTCCTCATCTCAAAAATAGAGAAAAGGGGACTTTAATATCAAAGATAAGGATACTGGTCCGGATATTATTTTAGATGTCTCGCTGTCTCTTTTTTTTAATTATTCAATCCCTCTACGTTCAAATAAAAAAGGAGGAAATTAAATATATGCCATAAAAAATCGAGGATAGGTTTTAAAATGTGATGCTGAAATAGCAATGTGATTTTTTTTTATTTGACTTGGTGGTAGTTTAAATCTTATAGTACTGTTGGAAGGTTAAGTTTATAGATGTATTTGTCATGTGAATATATATATATATATATATATATATATATATATATATATATATATATATATATATATATATATTCATTTTGTAGACACAGAGTGTGTAAATACTGTTCAAATGTTTTTATAGTTCCGACCGCTTTCGGCTATACCTTCAGCCATTATCCAATATGATTTTATTTTATTTTTTCAATTTAACTGAGTGTGTTCGATATGGGTATGTTTTTAGTGTGTTACAGATGGGTTTTATTTTATTAATTTTTATTTTATTTGCTTAGTTCGTTGTTATTATTGTTAAGAGTTGAAAAAAGCCAAATCTTAACAATATTAAATACGCCACAATGTGCTAACCGTGTTCGGAAAATAAAACCCCTCTATCACACACTAAAAGCATGCGTGAAACACACCCACCCGTTTAAACTGAAGAAAATCATCCTTGATAATAGCTAAAAGTATAGCCGAAAGCGCTCGAAACTATAGAACATTTGGACCATTTCTACACACTCTGTGTCCAAAAAAGAAAGCTCTTGTGCGAACACAAGAAAAATTAAATAAAAAGCTTAACCGTAATACCTTGTCTCTCGTTTTTAATGAAACATGCATAATTGAAGGATTGCTGCCTAAATACACAATTACATACATACATACACATATATATATATATATATATATATATATATATATATATATATATAAGGTATACCGTATATACTCCAGGATACGTCGCACGTTTTTTCACCAAAATTTCGATAAAAATCGGGGTTGTGTGCTATCTACTAGACATCATAGAATCTGAAGTAGACTATGGCATATCAGTAGTCCAGTCGAGTACTCTGGGCTCTAGCAGAAGGGAGAGTAACGAGTATCAGGTTTTGAATTCAGCGTTGTCCTCCTAGATCATTTGCCATCCACGGCTACAGAACCCGGTTTGTCTTGCTATTTACTCATAGATGTGGGCAGAAGATGAGGATTTATACTTTTCTCAGTGGTATTAGCACGTAGGGAATACAATGGATTCGACTGGAATTCGAACTCGGATCTCCGATTCCTCGATCCAAGAAGCTGCCTTCTGCGCCACCGTGTCCCTTTCGCAAATATAAATAAACGGTTTTCAATTAAAACGAAATGTTAAATAAAAAAATATTGACACTTTTTAACATTAATGCCTGTTCGAATTTCTATGACACTTATTTTCGATCCAGTTTTCTCATTGTTGGAGTTTAACGTAACGGTTCAGTCGCAATATTCTTCTGGAGCTGGACGATTTCCCCACTCTTTCCGAAGTATTTGCAAAGGTACAAGCACCATTTTTCCTGCAGACACTATTTTTCTTTATGAAGCTAATCTGACTGCGAAATCATTTGATGTAAATCCCGTGCTACGCTACGTAACCTGAGGACTGAATCAACAACTTCAAAATAACTAGATGAATACACTAATGTTTTTAACCACTAAGAATATAACGAAATAGACGTTTTGGATTGTGTGTGTGTGGGGGGGGTCGGTTTGTTTTTTCTTCCTTTTCTATTTTTTCAACATAGCGTTGTTGCCATTCCCGAGTTCGCCAATTTATTGTTCAGACATTTCGTGGGAGCTGTGGATATTTACATGGGCGACGTGAGACATGGAAAGGAAATAATTACGATGAGTATCTTAGTGTTTTTTTAAATCACTCTTTTGGGTTTATATAAAACCTTTTATTTAAATTTCTGGAGGTTTCGCCTATGCATTCTTTATGCCAGTCATGACAGGTGATTTCGATTGAAAGTATGCTACTTTATTTAAAAGAGTAATGAATGTACTAAGACGATAGTGCTTTGACTGGTAGATCATCCAAGGTAAATTTGTGTCCAGGTTCTTAGTACATTTCACCTATTTTGGCAGATCTTCTATTATCACAATGTGCGATACGTAATAACAAAAATGACAAAAACAAAAATATAAAGAAATTTAATGAAATTGGCTAAACTGCATATCTACACACGTCTAAAATAAAAACAAAAAAACCCCCAAAAAACAAAAAGGAAAGCAAAAATTTTAAAATATCAGTGTTTCCTGTCCATTGGAGGTTTGCAAGTATATACAAGGTGTATCAAAAATAATTTTACAAAATTTGGGGAAAGGTTTCTCACAACAAAAAAAGGACAAACATATAAACATATATCCGCAAATACTTCGTTTCTGAGTTATCAACTTTAAAGAAAACTTACGATAGACGGCGCGGTGTTGCTATGTAGATTGGGTTACATTTGTCATTCGTGTATATTTGTGGCTAGTCTGTCTTGTTAGCTGAGAAGTGTTCCGTTAAATAATGGGAGGATATTCATATCGTGAGCACGCAGATATGATTTTTACATAGGGCCCCAAGAGCAGCAATGGACACGAGGCCGCACGGCTGTATCAGATTGAGCTTTCAGGCCGAAGGCAGCCGAGTCATCCAACCTTTGATGCTGTTTCTCGTCGCGTGGATGAGACAGGATTCGTAGCAACACAAACTACGGATTGAGGAATACCGAGATTCTCTCGTACGCCTGACCACGTAGAACACATTCTACAGGCCGTCGGAGGCGTTCCAGGTATCATTACACTTCAAGTGGCCCTAGCATGTCGTACATCTCATAGTACAGCATAGAGGGCAGTTTAAGATCAGCTGCTGTATCTGCATCATTTACAACGTGTACAGAGTCTTTTGCCCTCTGATCACTCACAACGGGGGAACTTTTGCCGATGGTTTATTGCATAAAGTGTCGAAGCGTTGTTTGTATCTTCAGTCTTGTTTACGGGTGAGGCAACATTTGGAAGAGATAAAATAACAAATTTACACAACGACCATTTGTGGACGTATTGGAATCCCCATAGTACAATGTAGGCTAGACACCAACATCAGTTTACGATTGGGCTGGGATTGCAGGTGACTGTCTAGCAGGTCTATATGTTCCCCCAGCACGCCTTACAGGAGCGGTCGACAAGGACTTTATTTCGAACAGACTTCTAGAGGATGGCCCCTGCTAACAGGAAAACGCCCGTGGTTCATATATCAAAGAGCTCAAACACATTTTAGTCACATTGTTCACGATGCAATAGCAGACATCCATAAAATATGAATAAATAGTGCAAGACGTGCTTCATGGCCTACACGTTCCATCGACCTCAACCCTCTGGATTTTTATCTGTGGGTCCACCTAAAACAACTGGTTTATGCAACAGAAAAGCTTTATCAACGGGTCATGGGGGCCTGTGAAACCATTCAATACCGTGTGAGAGTATTTAAAAGGGTCCGCCAGTCAATGATCCGACGGGTGCATGCATGTGTAGAAGCCAGCGAAGGACATTTTGATCATTTGAGCTACTCTGTTGAGGTACAACGATGGCCTGTTGGACAGATGTTTCTATGGACATTTTACCTAGTTTTTGGTATCAGGAAACCACCCACAAAATTTGTAAAAGTATTTTGATATACCCTGTATATACGGTGCAACTCAGTTCCTAAGAACTGAAGCCAGACACCAGCACATATGATTTAATTATAATGGTGAAGGTTCTGTAAGGAACCAACCACACATTTTGAAGTGCTGAATACAGAGACCTGGTGCACTACGTATCACAAAGTCCCCAAATAGCAGGTTATGAATTCAGAGTTGTCTTTCTCCTAGACCAGTTGAGATCCAAGGCTATAGAACGCAGTCTGTCCTGCTATTTGCACATAACTGGAGGGAGAAGAAGAGGATTCACATCTTTCCCAAGGATATTAGCACGTAAGCGCATGTAATGGATTCGACTGGAATTCGAACTCGGATATATATATATATATATATATATATATATATATATATATATATATATATATATAAAAGAAAAAGCAGACTACTTTAAGGTTCCATTATAATAATTTATTTCACCAGAGCCCTTTTAAAGGACGCTGGTTCATCAGATAGCACTTCCAAAAGATGAAACGAAAAATGAAATGAAAATTTACACTTTTGATGGGTAGTGTAAGTTTTTGTAATTTAACAGAGGGGGTGATGAGGAGAGGTTTGAGAGACATGGTCGAGTTTAAAGAGCGTTTATTTTAATATTTCTCTCAATCATACTTAGTATTGGGGGAGGAGGGACCAGACCTGACCTATTTAATCTATATATATAATAAAGAAGAAAACCTTCAGTATCCATTTCGGTTATAATTTATTTCGTGAATATCTATATATTCATCTCTTTGACTGAAATCTCTTAGTAAATGGAAACAATTCCTTGGACTGATATATTAGAATGACAGTGGGAGAGGAAAGCAAGAGAGAAGAGAAGAGAGAAAGAGAGAAAGGACGGATGGTCAAGTGAGATCGAGAGAGAGTAAGGAAGGAAAAGGGAAGAAGGAAGAGATGAATGGTTAGTAGTAAGCCTAAAATAGACTACTGACCCGGCCAAGAATTTTTTCCTTAAAGTGGGGAACTTGTACATAGGGTTATACAATAAACTGACCGATAAGGATTTTTATTTTGGGAAGGACAAATCGACAAATTTCGAAATTAGTTAGTCTAATAAAATTCAGAGTTGTCCTTCTTCTAGACCAGTTGCCATCCAAGGCTATAGAATCCGGTCTGTTCTGTCTGTTCTGCTATTTATCCATAGCTGGAGGGAGAAAGAGATGATTCATACCGTTTCCCACGGCTATTACCAAGTAATGGATTCGACTGGAATTCGAACTCGGCTCTCAGATTTCTCAATCCGAGCCGTTATTCATTACTCCACCGTGCGTCCTCTCTCTCTCTCTCTCTCTCTCTCTCTCTCTCTCTTCCTCATTATCTCTACATATCTCCTTATCTCTGATATATATCTCTCTAAAATATGGGCTTCTATGTAATTCGTTCGAAGTAATTAAAGTAAATTGGTAGTCTTTCTTTTTCTCTCTCGATATATATATATATATATATATATATAGATAGATAGATAGATAGATAGATAAAGAAAAACTACCAATTTACTTTAATTACTTCGAACGAATTACATAGAAGCCCATATTTTAGGCGACCTGATTGCAAGTCCAAGTCATTATATTCAGTGACTTTACAGAATTTATTACAATGAACAATTTCAAAAACTCTTCCTCCTTCAACTTCTGTTAATGATTGTCTGCTTGCATAGTATATATATATCCCATAAATATATATAAACATGCATACAAAAATATGGAAACACATGCATCTCTCTCTCTCTCTCTCTCTCTCTCTATTTATCTATCTATCTATCTATATATATATTATAATTTTATCATATCGACAAAACCATTTTACTCACTACAAAGATGCAACTTGGTTTCAGTGCATTTCAACTGCACTTCGTCTGGATGAGAATCGAAAATGATTATGAACAATCCTACTTGTAGGCAAGCCGTATGTGAAACGTCACTTCCTTTTTTCCATTTGTTTGAGAAGAAAAAATATACATGAAAAAAAAAAAACAAAAAAAAAACTGGTGACACTATTGTTTCACTCCGTCACCTACTTTTTTTAATGTATATTTTTGTTCTTTAGTTTCGGGAGAAAATAAAGGCAAAAACTGTGCAACATTTGGATATTTTTTATTATACCGTTCCTCGAACTAAGCTTTCGGCTCACATGAGCCATCGTCAGAATGTTTATATGAACATTACTACAGAGATGTTCACCTTTTAAACACATGGTTCTGTTGATAACATTTCTTTCTCTCACGTGGCCATGTACAGCGTCATAGAACCGTACGAATTTCATATATATATATATATATATATGTCCATTTCATATATATATATATATATATATATATATATATATATATATATATATATATAAAAATATATATATAAAATGTGTGTAAAAAAGAAAAAAATCAAGAAAATAATGTATAAGAAAAATCATAGAAAATATGAAAGAAATGAAAAAGTAAAATCATAGAATCAAAGAAAGAAAGAAAAAATGAAAATTATAGAATCTAAGAAAGGACCAAGAAAAATCATTGAAACTAAGAAAGAAAGGAAAAATAAAAATCATTGAAACTAAGAAAAAAGTAAAAAGAAAAATCATAGAAATTATGAAAGCAAGGAAAAATAAAAATCATTGAAACTAAGAAAGAAAGGAAAAATAAAAATCATTGAAACTAAGAAAAAAGTAAAAAGAAAAATCATAGAAATTATGAAAGAAAGGAAAAATAAAAATCATACAATCTAAGAAAGAAAGTAAAAATAAAAATCATACAATCTAAGAAAGAAAGTAAAAAGAAAAATCATTGAAACTAAGAAAGGAAAGAGAAAAATAAAAATCATTGAAACTAAGAAAAAAGCAAAAAGAAAAATGATAGAAATTATGAAAGAAAGGAAAAAGAAAAATCATTGAAACTAAGAAAGGAAAGAGAAAAATCATAGAAACTAAGAAAGAAAGGAAAAAGAAAAATCATAGAATCTAAGAAAGAAAGCACAAAAAATATAACTGCAAGAATAAAAGCAAAAAAAAAAAAAAAGAAGGAAAAAGAATAAAGTCAGAAAGAAAGAGACAGGGATAAAAAAAAAAGCCAGTGTTCGAAATAAATAGAGGCATAGGCAGATTTTGGAAGGTGCGTTCTTCCCAAATGATGATTACACTTAATAGACCAAAAACCTATGACTGTTCTCTCGCGTCTCAAGCAATTAATGGCAACGTAAAAGAAAGATAATAATTTGTTGATATTAACGTCACTTTGCTGAAAATCTAGTCGGCCGCTCCTTCTAATGTTTGGGAGATTTTTCTTTCCTTTTGGTGTTATATATGGCACTGGGCCACATCGATCATAGTCCAAATAATAAGACTGTTTGGCACCAACACAAGTGTTATCAGCAAGAATTAGTCCTTATTTTTTTATGATCAAAACTCGTAGCCCAACAGTGATAGTGTATGGTTGCTTCTTTTTCACATGACTAAAATAAGAATTCCATGTCTCTTCGCTGAATTTGAATCATGACTGTTTGAAAATATTTAGCTAGAAAGAAAAAAAGAAATTAAATAAAAGTAAACGAAAAGAAACCAACTCAAAAAGAAAGAAAGAAAAACGAGAAATAAAGAATACAAAAAGGAAAGAGAAAGAGAATCAAGCAATAAATGATAAAAAATGACAATTAAGAAAGAAAGAAAGAAAGGAATTAAAAAGAGAAAAAAGGGAATATGAAAAAGGGAAAGAGAATCAAGTAATAAATGATAAAAGAATGAAAACAAGTAAAGAAAAAAAGAAAGAAAAAAAGAAAAACGAGAAAAAAGAATACAAAAAAAGAAAGAGAAAGAGATTCAAGCAATAAATCATAAAAAATGGCAACAAAGAAAGAAAGAAAGAAAAAAAAAGAAAGAAAGGAAAGGAATTAAAACGAGAGAAAAAGGAATACGAAAAAAAAGGGAGGAGAAATGAAATAAAGCAATAAATGATAAAAGAAAAGAAAACAAATAAAGAAAAGAAAGAAAGAAAAACGAGAAATAAAGAATACAAAAAAGGAAAGAGAAAGAGATTCAAGCAATAAATCATAAAAAATGACAACAAAGAAAGAAAGAAAGAAAGAAAGAAAGAAAGAAAGAAAAGAAAAGGAAAGGAAAAGAATTAAAACAAAAAGAAACCAACTCAAAAAGAAAGAAAGAAATAAAGGAAAGGAATTATAACGAGAAAAAAGGAAATACGAAAAAAAGGAAAGAGAAAGGGAATCAAGCAATAAATGATAAAAAGAAAAAAAAAAACAAGTAAAGAAAGAAAGAAAGAAAGAAAGAAAGAAAAATAAACAAAGAAAGAAAACGAGAAAAAAAGCAATACGGGAAAATGGAAAGAGAATCAAGCAATAAATGATAAAACAAAAGAAAACAAGAAAAGAGAAGAAAGAAAGAAAGAAAGAACGAAAGAAAGAAAGAAAGAAAGAAAGAAAAGAAAAAAAAAAAAGAAAGAAAAAAGAAAAAAAGAAAGAAAGAAAGAACAAACGAAAAATTGAAAAAATGCTTGCTTCTTTCTCTTGTAGAGAGGGAATATGACAGAACGAGTAAAGGAGGTTCTGAATCGGTATAAAGAGACGACCATTTTTGCCATCGTCTTTAGCGTTGGGCCATACATATGAGTTCCACTTGAGGTCTGGGGATAATTTGAGTGTTGATAGTTGTTCAAAGCAAAAATAAATCTCTCTGAAAGCTCATCTATCAATCGTGAAGGAAAGAATTCATGGTCTGCTGCTAAATATGCCTTTCAGTTTCTTAAAAAAATTGAGATCTTAATGAAATGAAAATATTTATAGAGAGAGTTTTCCGTAAGATATCATTGATATGCATAGGCGGATAAAATGGAACGCGAACAGGCCAAGGATGATTCGATCCTTTGCACATGGAGAAGCGGAACTTAGATTTGAAGCCTCTCAAGTCCGGAAAGTGAAGATTGTGAAGCTTCAGTCCAGATATGACAGCAATACATGGCAGGAAACTGTCCAACTTTAACTTATTCCTTACCAAAGGAATGAGAAGGGAATCATACTTCCCATTGTACATGGAATGGTGGGTCTTAGATGTAAAGCTTTAAACTGAAAGAACTTCCTCCTTACCAATGGAATAATGGAGGATATTAAGATGGATTGGTGGGTCTTAGGAAAGGTTCTGGCACCCAGTGGAATAGGGATGGATTCATCCTAGTGTACATGGAAAGGTCTAAAAAGGTCTGGCAGAACTTCCTCCTTACCAATGGAATACGAAGGGAATTAGGATGATTCATCCCATTGTACATGGAATGGTGAGTCTTAGCTGTAAAGGTCTAAACTGACAGAACTTCCTCCTTACCAATGGAATACGAAGGGAATGAGGATGATTCATCCCAATGGAAGTCTTAGCTGTAAAGGTCTAAACTGATTTCCTTACCAATGGAATACGAAGGGTATGTGGAGGATTCATCCCATTGTAATGGAATGGTGAGTCTTAGCTGTAAAGGTCTAAACTGATTTATGATTCATCCCATTGTATTGAGTTTTACATGGAATACGAAGGAATGAGTCTTATTGTACATGGAATGGTGAGTCTTACATATAAAGGTCTAAAGTGGCAGAACTTCCTCCTTACTAATGGAATATGAAGTGGATGCGGATCATTCGTCCCTGTGTACATGGAATGGTGGGTCGAGGCTGTGAAGGTCTAAGCCGATAGAACTTCCTCCTTAACAGTGGAATACCAAGGAAATGAGGATGATTCATCGCAGTGTAGATGGAATGGTGGGTATTAGCTGTAAAGTTCTAAACTGGCAGCATTTTTCCTTACCAATGTTATACGCATTGAATGACAATGCGTCATCCTTGTGTGCGTTGTATGGTGTGCCCCACCTGCCATTGTCAATTCTCTATGGAACCAAAGGAAGTAGATCGTTACAAATCTGGGAACAGAATAATAATAGAATACCGAGAACATTGCTACATTTTTTTTTCTGTGTGAAAATGCGCGTAGGACGGAAAATAATCAACCAGAAGGCTGTTTATAGTTTCTTTTTTTTTTCTTTTGCATTCTGCGATATATAGAGAGTTTGGGACATATTTCAAATTATTCTACTTAATAATGCCGTTTATATAATCAGTTCTCTTTAAGCAAGGCGTTATCTCTATCTATAAAAGGCAGGATGTGTGTGTGTGTGTGTGTGTGTGTGTGTGTGTAACGAATGCACGGCCGCAATTTTCGACGGATTTGCACCAAAATTTCAATGCACATAAGGAAAGCGGAAAGGGCCTAGACCGACTTTGTATTTCCCAACTCCCATCGATAGTGGAAATAAACGATTGTTCCATACTTCTACGGCAGTTTTCATGTAGTTTGCGGCCATTTTGTACTGGCCAGAGTGAGATCCTTTATCCGGCTGCCACGAATAGGCAGGAAGATTCTATTGGACAGCGTGAGAGCCAACAGCTGACTGACACGAATGTTAGTTAGCATGCAAAAAAAAAAATCAATAGCTGCATTTGTCACAAGTGGGAAACATTTAAATCTTCATGGCACTTTACTCCAATTGGCTCATTCGCTTGCTTAAACTCAATGTTGATTCTGATTCCGCAGAACAGGGTTAGGTGTGAAAAAGGACCAAAAGGTGCCTCAGAGTACAGATGAAACATGGTATTATTAAAGGTGTGCAGGTAGAAACGCCCTTTTGGCTATAAAAAAGGAAACGAGACAACTCCTATCACTAATGTATCCTGTGGTTAAAAGTGTAACAATAAGATTTCGCACGCATTTTTAGAAAATAAGGAGATATATTCCTTCCTTTTAAGTCCACTCAGTTCTTGGAGTTTCGTACGAACTTTGTCTCCAGTCCATCTTTGATTGAACTTAATTGTCAGTGTTTTCAGGATTCATGTCTCTAGTTCGCCTTTGAATTGGGAAACATAAAAATTTTATAAATTTTAGATAGTCATAAAAGTAGTCCTTTGTTGATTTGACCACCCATATGGCTTTGAGGTAGTCCCAAATCTTCCGGAACACTAGTAGATGGAGAGGGTGGAAGCCCACGATTAACCATATAAGCAGAGACAAGCAGGAAGTCTAAAGAAAGTAGGTCCAGCCGTGAGAGAAGTAAGTAGGTGATCAGTGTTGGAGCAGCCCAGTGACAGTTATGGGAAATCAGGAGTCGCCGAGCCCAGAGACCAGTGAAGTTAGTGAGATAGCAGTTCAACCAAAGGGAAAGATAGCCGGCTCATTGAGAAATCATATTGTTGCGAACTGCCAGCCAGTCTCTTTAAAAACACTTGTCGTCACTAGTATTGTTTGTCGAAAGCGATCACGGCTGAGAAGATGAATCTGTGCACATAGTGAGTTTGGTGTATCTGCAAATATAGTCAATTTTGGATCTAATCACAGGTTCAGTGAACGACAGTCGATCGAAGAACGTCTTCATAAAACTCGTCACAATTTCGACACGAATGGCGTCGTAAAGAGAAAAAAATTTTTACTTTACTCCCTTATTCTTATATGCTACGTTTGAAAACCTAGAAGTTAGCAGAAGTTCCCTGGCAGACAAGCGGGGTAATCTTTTGTTCGTCCTTTCAATTGGGTGGTCTGAGGAGTTGGGATTACCCTGCTACTGGGATTTGGTTACCAACCGAGGAGTAAGGGTCGCGTTGAAAATTCACATTGAAAACACCAGTTCTTGTACGATCACCGAAGTTAAGCAACGCCGAGCCTGGTCAATACCTGGACGGGTGACCGCTTGGAAATACCGGGTACTGTAAGCTTTGATGTGAGTGTGGCGTAATATATAACGGGTCGGAATTGGAAATCGGAGAGCCGCAATTCCAGTCGGGTTGATTATATGCGAAAGATATGAATACCCCTCTTCTCCTCCCACCTATGGGTTAATAAGTCAACCCTCTTACGATTTATGTTTTCTGACTTTACTTTTTGACCTGCAAAAAGTAAAAAAAAAAATGAATCAAGCGATTGTTATAATATAATCTTATGAACTGTCGTATGCCTGTAAAAAGTGCCTTGTCCCTTCAGGACGAAGGCGGTCATGGCTCTCTACTACTTCCTATCTATGGCTATTAATATAGCTCACAGCCCAGATTTTGAAGTCTATTTATAGCAACATGTTAGGTAGCCTACTCTCTACTTCTGTCCGTCTCTCTTGCATTCTGTATGCCCTTTGAGTGTCAAATTCTCCAAACAATCTTTCTTCATTATGTATTCAATAAATATATATATATAATCTTATGAACTGTGTTATGCCTGTAAAAAGGACCTTGTCCCTTCAACGTCGGTCATGGCTCTCTACTACTTCCTATCTATGGCTATTAATATAGCTCACAGCCCATATTCTGAAGTCTGTTTACAACAACATGTTAGGTCTCTGGCATTCTGTATGACCTTTGAGTGTCAAATTCTCCAGACACTCTTTCTTCATTATGTATTCGATAAATACCAAGTAACGTCCGTTTCACACTAGACCCCGGTCTTTTGAACAGGGGTAGAGGTACTTCCCTTGTTTCCTTCCAAATTCTAATTTAACTCCATACTTCTAACGTTTCCGCCTGAAATTTTATTCATTAATTAAATCTTGACCTCTTCAAGTCTGGAATTAGCTAATATTATCTTTCCCGTTCCCGCTAATACAACAAAACATTATACCTCTACTTTGAGTGGCCCTTGGGCCTTGTAGTGAAAATAAATTTCTTTTTGTTTCTAAGTATATTTGTTTTATTCCATTTTTCTTAAAACTTCCTTGTTGTTTACATGCTCTGTCTATGGCATTCTCAGCATCCTTCTGTAGAACCAGATCTCTGTGGCCTCAAGTCCTCTCTACATCCGTATGGAAATTTGCCTACCATATGGGAGGATTGATATTATACAGCATTTATTTACAACTATTTAACGAATTTACTTTTGGTATTTCGTATGTTTAGTACCTTGAAAAACTGAAGATCATAGAGATATGGTATTTTCACTGATATGCATCACCATTACCTACCCAGAGGACTTACAAGTCTTTAGGAGATCCAACTATTCATATTATTAGAGACGATGTGTTACGATAAACAGACTGAGAAATACTGATTGATAGACATATAGCTACACCTGAGTGTGTTTACTTCATTACAACCTTAACTGACGTCTCTTCTACAGACGAGTAAAGCTTTCTTCGTTTTTTTGCTTGTTTCTTTTTTTTTTTTTTTTTTGCCGATAAGATATTTCTCCAAAACCCCAAAGACAGGAACTGAAGACTCTTTTGAAGATAACCCACACGATCTATCTCTCCTTCTCTTTCTTCAACCCTGTTCCTCTCATCAGTAGATCAGGGAGCTGCCTGCTTGCTGTTGTGGGCTATTTTATTAGGGTTTATCTTTCCTCTGACTTGAACTGTTTTTATAATTTTTAAACATAAGAAAGATAGAAAAAAAAAAACCAACAAAATTACAGGAAAAAATATAAATAAAATCGACGAGCCCTGGGGAAAGACAAGAGACACCTAGTCTCCTAACTAATTTTGACATTTGCCTTCGAGCAGAATTGTAAATGGCAAATGAAATAGTTTGACTTCTTGATAATATTTATGCTACGTGGGTATCACGGATTTTACATATTGGTAAAAAAGAAGATAAATTACTGTTACCTTCCATCTTGCGCTTGTAAACACACACACACACACACATATATATATATATATTTTGAACATATATATATATATGTGTGTGTGTGTGTGTGTGAGTGTGTGTGTAGGAGGTACGGTGGAGTAATGGATAACGTTTTTGGATTGAGGAATCGTAGAGCCGAGTTCGAATTCCAGTCGAATACACTTACGTGTTAATGCCCTTGGGAAAGGTATGAATCGTCTACTTCTCCCTCCAGCTATGGGTAAATAGCAGAACAGACTGCGTTCTATAGCCTTGGATGGCAGCTGGTCTAGGAGAAGAACAACTCTGAATTCAAAACCTACGGAGGGTCGTTTCGGGATCCTGTAGCAGGTCTCTGTGTTCGGTCCTTCAAAAAGTGGGGATCGTCCACAAAAAAACTTCACCACTATAATCAGATCTCATGTGCTGGTGTCGGTTCCAAGGAACTGACCTGCTTGACCCTCATAGGTCGAATTCGACGAGAGTTGAGTATAATATATATATATATATATATATATATATATATATATATATATATATATACAGTGTAACCCGGATATAAGAGAGTTGTCGGGACCGGAGAAGAAGTCTCTTATATCCGGGTGTCTCTTATATCCGGGTGTCTCTTATATCCGGGTCTGGTCTAATTTATATACATTAACACAGGCTCTAATTTGGGACCAGAGAAAATCTCTCTTATATCCGGGTTTCTCTTATATCCGGGTCTGGTCTAATTTATATACATTAGCACAGGCTCTAATTTGGGACCAGAGAAAATCTCTCTTATATCCGGGTTTCTCTTATATCCGGGTCTCTTATATCCGGGTTACACTGCATATATCATTTCTCTGTATTCAGTTGGTTCTACACAAGCTTTGACTACAATGATGAAATGACATGTGCTGGTAGTCTGGCTGTTGGTTCATATATATATATATATATATATATATATATATATATATATATATGTGTGTGTGTGTGTGTGTGTGTTAGTGTGTTTGTATATATATATATATATATATATATATATATATATATATATATATATATATTTATCATGTCTATTAAACGATATAATAAATAAAAACAATCCATTACTTGTTTAAAAATTGCTTTGTTTACCTTAGGATACGAAACTGAGCTGATCTGATTGATTTGAGGGTCGAAGAAAGATTTGCAGACAGAAGGTAATGTTCAACATTGTCTGATCGGCGACGCACTGAGTCGGTATTTTATACACACGCACGCGCACACATAGGATTGCAAACACACATACACATGCGATGAATAAATTTTCGGTTAAATTACGCATACACATGTACACACACACACATATCTGCATACAGTGTGCGATGGATAAATTGTCGTCTAAATTCCCCCAAAATGAAAACAACACCGGCATCTCATTTTAACATATATATATATATATATAGCAACATTTATACAAACATATCTTGAAATACTAAAAAGTAAATCTATTCAGTAACATCGCCATTGTTTTAAACCACGGCCTTCAGACGATTTTAGTTTTTCCTGCAACTCTTTAGGATTTTTTTTTTTTTTTTTTTTATTTTTTTTTTCTGGATCGCACGAGATAAATTGTTGAGGTGAAATATTATTGGAATTAAAAACTTCAAAATAATTGTAGTTTAATTTTGAATTTGAATTTAAGCTTTGGTTAACTTTTAAGATTGAAAATATTGTTGGAAATAAGAAATACAAATTCTAAATTAGGGAGACGCTGGTTTTGAAAACTTAAATAAACAAAGAAAGAGCCGTTAAAAAATCAAGGGAGGCAACTCTCTATATATTTTTTTAAAAATTACGAGCGTCACCGATAATTATAATACTATCCTAACCAGACTAATGATATCAGTAACAAAGTATGCTATAATAAAATAAAATATTATACAGTAATATACAATAATATAGAATAGAATATAATAATATGCTATAAAATATACTATAAAATAAGATAAAATAAGGTGTAATAAAGTACTACTACTAATACTACTACTAATAATGATGATAATAATAATAATAGTACTTATCAATGGAAAGAAAATAATAATAAAAAATCTAAAATAAAAACGGTGCCGACACAAAATATAAATATAAATAAAAATAAATATAACTCTAGCACTTGAAAAATGCTTCGGCATGAAACTCCGAGTTAATGAAATATAAATATATATATATATATATATATATATATATATATATATATATATATATATATATATATATATATGTCGCAGAGGAGCGTGAAAAGCCCTGTTTTCATTGGCTGACGCTGACTGCCATATGTCAACAAGAAAGATCGAAGTCTGATCTTGCTCGCCATATGATTAATGTCGCGGTGCGTAGCACGACGCTTTCAACGAGGCAGCCTGACTCATCTCGAATCAGGTCGGGGGTTGCTGTTGGAATCGATATGATGCAAAAACCGAAATCAGCAATGAGAACAGTGCAGCACTGAAGAGCACCCTTGATGCATCTAAAATGTATTATTTAACTATATAATTAAGTAATTCATCGAATCTGAAAGAAACCTCAACAGAATTCAGAAAGCACTGGATGGCCGTTTCGTCCTATATTTGGGACTCATCAGCAGGGCGCATCCACTACCGAGAATTGAAACCCTGACAGGTTACCATGCAAACGTCATACCAACTATTCCAAAGGGCCTCGGTGGCAAAGAGGTAGCAAATATAGCGCCGCTCGCTCACATATTCCGTGGTGGAACTGAGTTTCTCTGTAACCATAGGACTGTGCCCCCAGGAGCCACGACTACTATCACCAAGCCGCTCAAACTTCACCATTAGAAGCCGGTTCAAGCAATGATATACAAATGATAGAAATTATTAGGATTCGTCCAGTGCTTTTTGCATTCTGTTAAGGTTTCTTTCAGACTCGATGAATTACTTAATTATAATCATCAAATCCTCCTAATAATTTCTATCATATATAAGTGGTAAATATACATACGTATGCGAAATATATAAATACCCATACATGTATATTTTTAGAATAAAAATTCCAAGAGGAAGAATCAAGGTAGAACTCAATGTCCAGGACAGAGTAAGGATATAATAAAAAAGACTTAAACACTAATATTCCATT